AAAAATACAACTAGAAGTCTCCAGTAAATTGCAGACTTTCGTGAACTAGACATTTATTTCGCCATATCCAACTATGTCACTTGGTCACTATAACCAAATCTTGGTAATTATAACTAAACCTTTTTCTGAGTGTANGGACGTCGCCATGTTAAAGTAAACAGTTCGTTCGAAGGAAGAAAATCAGATCTTCAATTATTGGGGTGGGTAAGAGACTTGGTGAACATCAATATTTAAACTAGTTTCTTTCCGTACTGGGTAGGCATAAACATAATATGTGTGGTATAAATACGAGTACATACTCGTAATGCACATGCATTAGGGTGGTCCAAAATGTTTGTGAAAAAGTAAAGTCGGAATTTTTATGCTCTCACCCCCTAGGATAGTTCTAAACCGAAAAAAATATACCCATATTGGAGGTCGCAAAATTGTCCATGTATTTCATATGGGAAAAACAACTTTTCGTAGAAATGGTATAGAGTAGTTAAAAATCAATATTTTACTACCAGAAAACTCTGCTTATCTGCAGGAGATTCCCAACAATAATACCCAATTGTTTAGTTGACCATTTTTTCATCGCAACTATAAATTATAGGTCCGCCAAAACCCACAAAAACCCCGATAGATGCAATGGGGTGACCAATAAAAAATCATTAGTATTAAAAAATGGTTAAATAAACAATTGGGTATTATTATTAAAAGTATCCAGAAGAGAACCAGAGTTTTCCGATCGAAAAATATTGATGTTCAAGAATTCTATACCATTTCTACGAAAAAAAATTTATTCTTCCCATATAAAAATACATGGAAAACTTTGAGCGCTTTGAACGACCTCTAAAAATTTTTTTGATTTCAAAATAAAAAAAATAGGGGTATACTTTTTCGATAGAGAACAATCCTAGGGGGTGAGAGCATTACAATTCCGACTTTCCGAACACCCTTATGTACATACATATGTGTGTATATGCATATGTTCGTTCCACTTTGAGAGACAGCGATAAGAGGGCTTCAACTGGGTTTTCCTAATGACGCCTGACGTTCCCGTTTTTGCTGGTTCAATGTTGTATTGGCATGTCACTTTAGATAAGAAAACAGCAACAATTGAGTATTGAATTAATTAAATTGCATACAGATTATTTTCGGAATACTAAGGGGACTCTGGTCTACTGGCTCATGAACGATAGGTTCAAACTCCGAGAAAGAGATCGAATCCATTCAACAATTCCTATGTGAATGCCCCGCTCTCCAGTGAATGTACCTAAGAGTAGGCTAGGGCTGCCAGAGGTCCTGGTTTTCCAGGATTTGTCCTGATTTAGACAAATAGTCCTGGTGTCCTGGTTCACACTTAAATTTTCCTGATTTTTTAATGAAGGTCAATGCGGATACCCATCTAATTTTTAGCACATTTTTGCTACGAAAAAAGGTTGAGTGAAAAGGTCATTAGTCGAAAATCGAAATGTAGCGTTTTTTCTAACCTTTTTTCTGTTTAGTTTATTTGGTTAAAATATAAATTTTTTATCTTCAAATGCCAAAAACGTGCAAGTTCCTACACAGGTCCACGGCTGACTAGTCATACATACTACCCAGTAGATAATTTTAGAAGCTAAAATCGCTTCCAAAAGGCCTCTCTGAAAGTCATTCCTTTTCCATCCTTTTTGTATGGAGTGGCACAAATTGTAGGGCCCGCCCATTTTGACGTTTTTCAGAATAGTGCGGCAGGTCCCACGGGCCAGAAATCCATCACTATGAAAAATTCACAATTAATTTAAAAAAATAATAACAATAACGAAAGATCTGGCATCTTCCGATAATTTTGTTACATACATCGTTGTTAACGGAGATTTTTCTGAGTTTGTGGAGATTGCGGTTTTATCGGGAGTGTCGGGAAAGGATTTTGGTCCCGTTCCGCCTGCAAAATTTTAACAGGCCTTCCCGATACCACCCATCCCGGGCAATTCGAAATCAGTACCGTGGTACCAGTAGCAAAACGTCTCCGGTTGTTGTTTTATGCAAACAGTATCATTTATTTTATCTTATATATTTCGTTAATAAAACAGAGGAAACAAACTTTGCGCTTGCCAAAATTTTTATAAACTCAAATCGCTGGTTTTGCTACTTTATTTCACATTTCATTAGCGCTATTACCCTGTGTTTACACTTTGCACTTCTTGCTATTTCTTTGCTTTTAAAATCGGTTAAATATATATATATTTCACGCAGATATTTATATATATTTAACGGTTAAATTTTTATATATATATATGCAGTTTACTTAAAATCGGTTGAATATATAAATATATATATCACGCAGGTATTTTTATATATTTAACTGATTTTTAAGTAAACCGCATATATATATAAATTTGACGGTCAAATTTATATATATATGCAGTTTACTTAAAATCGGTTAAATATATATATATTTCACGCAGATATTTATACATATTTAACAGTTCACTTTAAAATAGTAAAGAAAATAGCTGAACACTGCACACGCCTTGTAAGGAAAACTGAATTATTATGAAATATTAATACAGTGGCAGCACTGTAGCTATTTTGAAATCCCGCGTATATGTTCCGAGAAAATTTCTATTTTCACTTTTCTTAGTGTAACATACTTAGCGTATGACTGGCGTCAACTTCGAATTACCATAAGTCTTTCTGATTTGCTTAGTCTCTTTAGGGTATTTTTTAACAACTGCCGTTGTTTTAGAAAAAGTTTAATTTTAGTTTGACTACTTTTTGGTTTTTCATGAAAATTATTAACAGGCTGTATTTTAATTTAACATACCCAGATTTAAAAAAAATAACATATATGGAGGAAGGAAACTAAAATTAAATTTCGCAGACCTATTTAATGAAAGAGGAAATCGCTACCTTATTTCAAAAAGGCCCTAACCAACAATTTTCGTATTTTACAGGAGAAGCAAAAAACATCATAAAAAGAATATCAAAAACAGGTAGGCCTTTTTAAAAAGTGCCATGTAACTCGGTTTTTTTGTTAATAGAACTTTAATATTTTAATTATAGGTGTATTTTAATACATCCTCCTCACTTAAATTTTTTTAGATTTGGATATTTACTGCTTGACAGAGTTTGACTACTTGTATCCATGGAGCCTTTCTCCAGCTGCCGCTGATAGCTGTATTGACAGGTGGGTAGGCGTGCTCTGCCAATAGCTAACATTAAAAGTGTCGCCTGCGCATGAGTTGTTTAAAAAAATAACGAACACAAGAAACCAAATTGTTCAACTTACTTTCGAAAACAGTCGACTAAGGAGTATATTTAATGTAAACGCAGAAAATGGTATAGAAACTTATAATCGGTTGACATACATCCGACGATCCGATATTTTACGAGATTTCAGCAATGCGCATAAAACTAACACCTAAGTATGAATAAATGCTGTTTATCGGTTGCCTTTCCAAAACAGTATTTTTACCTTCTCCTCTAATAATGCATTCATGTTAACATACATATGTTCTTATATAATATTTGTATATTTCATTATTAACCAACAAATTATCCAAAAATAATGCCACTCAAATACATATATATTCATGGAAATTCACTTTGGGAGGCCACTTATTTTCCACCACCACCACCACCGCCGCCGCCACCGCCACCGCCTCCTCCACCCCCGCCACCGCCACCAGGATACGGCTGAGGAATTGGACGCGGCTGAGGATTTGGATGAGCTGAAGGTAGATTTGTTCGTTAGAAATTTACTATAGGATTCAAACGACTGCCCCCTCAATCAGCATTTACACTTACCAAGAACCATAGCCAACATGGCCAAAACAAAAACAAAGAGTGCGTACAACTTCATGTTGCAAGCGTTTAGTCCACAATGAACAATAACCAGCGTTACACTTCTATTTATGTGGAAAGCATTGAATGGCGACTTTGTTTTGTTATCAATTTGAGAACAATAGACTTATGAAACTTACGTTATTGCCGACAAGGAGCATTCAACTGAACGGACGCCATAAAAATGGGTTAGGAAATGTGTGAGGTCGTTTTTACATACTTGTTTTACTACTACTTATATACTTATGTATATGCCCTGCAAGAAATTGTGAGACTAATCTCTAAAGAGAGTATTTCGAGATTACTCTCAATCGGGCACAATTGGGCATTAATTAGTCGCAACTAGTCTCATACGGGTATCATACGGGTATTAGTGGAGATCAATTAGGCTCGGCTCATCCCTTACGGGTATAATTGGAGACCAATTAGTCCCCGACTCTTCTCTAACGGGTACTTTTACCGATTTAATGATATGTACGAACTTACTCAATGAAATTTTATGTGCTACGTTGGCACAGAGAGAGTGTCGTCGCTCAACAAAACTGTGAACCCTCGTTCGAATCGCAGATGGCGCAAAGTTTTATTTTTTATTTTTTTTAATTGACTAGTCGCTTTTTATACCTGTTCTCTACATAGGACATACTCAATTAGTCTCTTCATAGGACATACTCAAACGAAAGCGAACAGTTCGTTCCATAAAAAGAGATCAAAAGCGGTATTAGTCGCATGTTCCTTTGTGATTACTCCCGGAGTCATCCCGGATTAGTCGAATTTTTTGCAGGGCGAGTATGCGTATAAAAATATTTATATTTATGTATGTATACATACATATATGTAGGTGTATATGCCAGGGATGGGCGAGGCCGAGACCGATAAGAGCTACATGTAAATTCCAAATGCTACAAAGAGCCACAAAAAAAATTGTATTTTTAAATAAAATTATTATTACAAATGAAAAACATTAATTTTATTATTATTCTAATGAACGTACGATATCTAGATATTAAAGTAAATTCAAAATATCCCTTTGGCCAAATTTTCAAAATTTGGTTTTACGTCAGTTAAAACCGGTCGTAACAATTCTGTGAAATTTTGGTTAGTCAATAGATACGTTCGTTTAAATCTCCAGTAAAATATGTCCAACAGCAAAATTCCTGCGAAATGTCATCTATTCTCTCACAATAGAAAAATATCCAAAATATTACGCGAACAGAAAATTTGCAGAAACTTACAAGTTAGACGAACAGCTGATACATTCAAAAGTTTAAATTTGAAAACGTAAGAAAACAAATCCCGAAGTCTTATCCTGACACAGTGCACTGACTAAACGAGTAATTACTTACTTCTTACAAGGTTTTAACTTCCAAACCAACAAATTCAATTTACGGATTTGCGTAAATTCCAACCAGCTGTTTTTTATCAGCTGTTTTCTTGTTGGCAAATTGCAGTTGGCAAAAATTTTTCCAGCAGAAACTAGCAGCTTTCCCTCAAAATGAAATGTCATTTTGCTCTCTCAATTTCCCCTACTTTGCAAGTTTTTTGCGTACGCGACCACAAAAAGCTGATAGTTTTTATAACTTTCCATAAATATCAGGTACGCGAACGCAACTAATTGTGAACGGTATTTTGACTTTACGAATTTCATTCTAGAGAACAGGTTTATGTTGCATTTCTGGTGCCTTGTCTTCTTTTAATTCCGAAAAGTCCAACTCTTCTTCGCTTTTCTTAAAAAGGAATATTGCGGATTATGCAAATTCATCCTGAATTATGTTACATAACAAGTAATTTTTAGCAAAAAAAAACCAACTCAAAAAAAAAAATATATATATATATTTCATGATCCACTGATCGGATCTAAACCAGATTAGTACGGGACCACCTCTGAGACACTACCTTACCGATGCAAATCCGATCGAAATCGGTTGACGTGGTCCAAAGTTATACGGTAACATAATCAAAAAGAAATACAAATTCTGACGAACTGATAACCTCCTTTTTTTTGGAAGTCGGTTAAAAAAGGGTTTACGAAGTATGCAAACGTACATTTAAATAATTTCAAATCGGCAAATCTTTTTTCAAAACCTGCTTTTAAATTATGTGCAAAATTTTTTTATAGCCATGGAAAATGATGAAATATTATTTTTTTTGAGATCATAAAAAAAGATGTAGTTCAGCTTCAAAACTTAAAATAATTTGCGACAAATCAAAATAGTTTGTTTCCTTGCAGAAAGCCAATTTTCATTCTCCAATTGCGGGTAATATTCCGATCTGAATTTGCGTATGCGTATATAAATAGAATAAAATAAAAAAAAAAACAATACAATGGAAAAGAATGTCCAGCAAATAAATATGTATTTTAAAAAGTAAAAAGATCCAAAATATTCTAAGCAAAGATAAAGTAAAAAGAGCTAAGCAAAGAGCCGCATTTGGCCCAAATAGCCGCGTTTGCCCACCATTGGTAATTGCTTATACATATTTAAAGATTTGAGAGCAACAAAAATAGAATAACCAGCACCAGAATTACCTACTACTAAGCTACATATGCTAACAATAAAATATTGCCTCATTCGTGAAAATCGCATTATTTTAATGAAAAAAAAAAATGCATGGAAACTTTTTTTGGGTATGTACACAAAATATATAATTTTTAACACAGCCCATTACAAACCTTGCCTTCAATATGGCGACGATTTCACAACCCTCTTTCGAGTAGCATCACATTGAATCTAATACCTTGTTTATACCTACACAAGAACCGCATTAACAAAAAAGCGATTGGACTCAACATATGTATGTTTCTTTACAGCATTTATACCCCTGTCTTTATAGCACACTTGATGAAGTCGTATTAAAAAGTAAACAAAATCTGCTATTTTGATACGAAATTTTTTTAATAAAAAATTTGCGCTGTTGACCGAAATGGAAAAAAACAATAATTGCAATTTATTATAACAATAATTCAAATTTAAAACGGGCTGTATAAACCAGCCTATTTTCACTTCACGTCAAATGAATGATTCGTTTATACTTGTTTTCTAACTGATGTGAGAAACAAAAAACCGATTTGAAAACAAATTGAGCTCAATACACTTTTCCATTTCAACGCGTTTGGAAATTTAGTTTATGCATTCGTTTTGAATCACAGCGAAGTGGGTCAAAGCGCTTTATGTGGCGGTATAAACAAGGTATATGTAAGTATTCATGTTGTCGTTTTCGTTCTAAAGGCCCGTCCACATAGAGCTTCGCTTCAACAGCTGACTATGAATACATGAATTCAAATGCAGCCGACCACTTAGCCAAAATTCGACAACGCTCACGCCAACACAAAGCAAACAGATGGCCAACTCTCAACTTTTCGCGTTTTTTCAATAAAAAAAGAAAGTTGAAAGAAAATTATTGTAATTATAACTATAAATGTAATTATGTGCATTTTCAGAAACCGTAAAGCCTCCTTTCTATTATTGGAGCACTCCCAAAACACTCCATCTAGGTTATCTTCGGATGATTCTAGGAGTCCCAAGGGAGTTAATGTGACTCCGAAATCACTCATTTAAGGAGTCCTAAAGGCACACATTTTTCATATATATTGAAAAGGCACTTTTCTCCCACGGATATGCTCCTTTGGGACTCTTTTCGGAGCCTCCCTAGGAGCATCAGCGCTCCGGACAGGGAGTCCTAATGGTGCACTCTGCGGACTCCGTTGGTTGGCTGGGATGTTACATACATATATGCATGATGTAGAAAGCATGATGTTTAACTGGGAGGAAGTGATAACCAGACATTGAACAAAAGGCTCTAAAAATACGCTTAAATATAAACTTAATCTCAATCAAAGCTCGTTTATTGGTAACCCTATTTATACAGTCAAAGCTCGGATTATTAGCTGTCAAATTTGTTATTCTTGTTTTTCTCACAACTCAAGCAAAATTTCAATTTCTTCTCTATGCCACTGTGGTCACTTTTTTCCGCTAAATTCTGTGGTCATAAGCAATAACTGCCTAAGGCACTCGGCACATTACGCGCCTAATCAAAGTAGAGTAATCGTTTCGTCATACCGAAACGAATGCATGACGACTCGACTTCTGTACACTTGCACGCCGTGCATAAGTCACCAGCTAATAAACACTTTCTACACATAACAAATTTTCTGGACGTTCTTTCGCAACTACGCACTTCCGCAAATATTTCTGCTCCGAAATATTGCATAAACGCTTGTGGTTTAATACAATTTGCACGAATTTTAGCACGTAATCATTCATTTACAATTATTTTCTATTGAATTGACAAATAAATTTTATTTTCAACACAAAAAAGTAAACAAATGATGCTTTCAAAACTGAAAGCGCCTTACAATGTTGGGCGCTTCGATTCATGACGCTTTTATGATTAGGCGAAAACAAGATTTTGAATCGTTATGTACAGAGCTGCATTGAAATACATGTGTTCGGCATATAAGCTTTATACTCTGGTATGCCGAAACGATTACACTACTATGATTAGAAGCTTAATGTGCGGAGTGCCTAAGTCGAAAAAACTGAATTCGAAAAAAAACGTTTTAAAGATTTGGATTGTAATGCTTACCTGATAGGGAAACCAAAATATGCTCGTCTATAACCTTTTAAATAGCCTAGCTGGCGAGATGGGGATTTCACACAAGCACATGGAATAGTAGTTGCATTACATTTGACTTTTTTTCTATTCTTCCCAAAAATAATCGATACAAATGGGTTGGACACTGAAAAGCTTATGAGGATTCATGATCTTTCATTATCTAGTAAAAGTGATTGATTCTTGACCACCAGGTGGACTCAAATAGAAAACCCAAAAAAATAAATGTTTAATGAGTTGAACAATCAACTTAAATTAAAAATCTGCGCAATTTCGATGAACTCGTCTACCGTTTCAACCAAGGCTTCATCACTTTCACTCACACATCTGACTGTGTAATGATCAATCATATTCTTAAAACTTGCTGTTTTCATTTAGTAAAGGTGTTCTTACACGATATGTATTTGCATCTGTAAATGTAACTTTTTCAATACATATGTAATATGTATGTATATCTGTCGAATTCACAGTCTTTATTTAACTATTTAAAAATACGTTCTTTGAAAACGAAATAAACTAAACTCAGATGATTCTATCTGTGTGTCAGATGAAAATAGAAACATTTCTA